TAGGGAAAGCAATGATCACTAGATCACAATGCAGAATACCTTAAAGTTAAGGGCTTTGCTTTAAACCACAGTGCTACTTGAATACCAAAAACTGAGAGGAAATGCATCCCAAGTGCAAAAGAATCTACACATACAGTGGAGGATGGAAAAATTAGAAGTAAAGCTGTAGACTATAACAGTTCACTCTCCTGCCCATCTTCTGTGTCATTCTTCAATAAATAGCTGGATCCAATCAATGAATCAGCATGAGAATTATGCCTAGATACTACAAAAAGGAGGACATTCACAAGAGGAATTTCCCAAGGAAATGTGAAGAGCTTTCAGTAGCCTCAAAACAAAGAAACAGTTTTCAATAGCCTCAAAGAAAATGAAAAACAATTCCTCACTTAAAAAAAGAGCTCAGAGAAGTTACATAATAGAGAGTATTATGGAAGATTTTCATCAGAGAATTCAAGAAAGAACTAGAAGAGAAACAAAGCAGAGATGAAAAGCATTCCAGAAACAATAAAAAACAGAATTAAATATGACTATAAATACTGGGACAAGAAATACAGTTTATATGAAATTATATAAAATAAACTGAAAAAGAACAAAAGAATAAAGAAAAAATGACAGAAAAGATAGAAGAGGAGATCTAATATCTGTACTGTTAAAGAGTTCTTAACAAAAAGAACTAATTAATGGAAAATACATTTAAATATATTAGAGAAGAAAACTTTCCTCACGGACACTCATCACCTTCTGGGGCATGGGGATGTGAACTAGAGAGAAGAGAAGGAGTCTTCTCAATACATTTAAAAAAAATACTTTTGATCACAGTAACAATAATGATGTTATTCAAAACTGACAAACAAAGAAGCTGGGTTTCGCTGCTTTGTCCCCTCACACTTGACTTTCTTCTTGCCTACACCTGAAGCTGTCAGTAAAGCAACCATCCTGGAACCATGAGGAGAGGCTCACACACAAACACACGTGAGTGAGTAAATGCACTGAGGATAGCAAAGCAGGAAGGTAGGCTCCTGCCTTGATGACATCCTTGGACAACTGCACCATCTGTCAAACTGCTTACCTTCAGGACCACTGTTATGTGAGAAACAGAAACCTTTTACATTTTTTTAACAATCACCATCCCACACATCACATACACACACACACACACACACACACACACACACACACATACAACTCCTAAAATAAAGAGAATCTTGAATCTTCAGACTGAAAGCTGCATGTCCCATTAAAAAAAAAAATGGTAGAGAACCACCATCAGTAAGACATATTCTAGTGAAGTTACTAAATTTCAAAGATAAAAAATCAAGCATGAAATATCAATAAAAAAGTATCTAGACAATAACAACAAAAAATAGGACAGGATTGGAAGAGAATATGGCTGACACTGGGCTTCCTCTCCACAGTTACAAAAGGCAGTATCTATAAAGTTCAGAGGGAAAAAAAAGTATAACCCTAGATCTTTCTATCCTGCCAAGGCTCTCTTCAGGAATAAAATAAACATTCTCAAGCAAGAAAGAACTCAAGGAATGGTGCACTTACATGTCCTCTTGAAGCAAAACCAAAAACAAACAAACAAAAACAAACCCCAAAGCTCTAAACTCCAGATGGCAATTAAATGAATGTAAATAAAGAACTTAGTAATGAAAAAGTCATGTAAAAAGAACTGGTGAGGGACTTCCCTGGTGGTCCGATGGTTAAGACCCCACACTTCCACTGCAAGGGGCATGGGTTCAATCCCTGGTCCGGGAAGTAAGATCCCACATGCCGCCTGGTGTGGACAAAATAAATAAATAAATAACAAAAACTGGTGAAATTTCTTTAGGAATAATAACCCTTGCTGTAAAGAAAGATTTCACTGAAGTTTAAAGTTTAATTCTTTCAGTTTTACTTCATTTTTTAATGATAACTTCGAGTAAAACTAAACTCTGATAAATAAAAATGTACAGTATGATTTCATTTTTGTTTACCTATCCATCCATCTTGCTCTATATATGAATAGAGAAATGACTGTATGATGTTTCATCAATGCTTGTTTGGGGTAGTGGGATTTTGGATAATGTTTACTTTCTTAAATATTATTTTCTATGTTGCTATGTATATGTAGTTTTTAACAGCAATCACATATTATTCCAAAAATAATAAATTTTAAAAATAATACTTAAAAATCAACAAGAGTAGATACATATAACTCAAGAGCACCTGGCTGAAAGGATGGCTGCCCGAAGCAATGTCTTGAAGAATTTTGGGAGAATCTCCCAGATGGTCGTAGCTGTAAGTGAGATCAACAGGGCTGCCTATAAGGGCCACTTTTAAGTCATTGTGAAGCCAACTGAAAGAAAACAACAGAGTTTTTAGAGCTAAATCACTAAGTTAGCAGTTACTGGTCTCTTCAATGCTATGTGCTACATCTATTTAAATTAGAAAATGTTAAAAGCACTAAAGCCCTCCCAGAACATTTAACTTTAACAGATACTATTGCGTACCTTTCAAAAATAAAGTGTTGTAAAAAATACAGGCATACCTTGGAGATATTGTGGGTTCGGTCCCAGACCACAAAATAAAGTGAGTATCACAATAAAGCAAGTCACACAAATCTTTTGGTTTCCTGGTGCATATAAAAAGTTATATTTACACTACACTGCAATCTATTAAGTGTACAAAATCATTATGTCAGAAAAACAATATACACACCTTAATTAAAAAATACTTTATTGCTAAAAACATGCTAAACATCGTATGAACCTTGAGTGAATGGAAATCTTTTTGCTGGTGGAGAATCTTGCCTCGTGCTGATGGCTGCTGACTTTGATCAGGGTGGTGGTTGCTGAAGGCTGGGCTGGCTGTGGCAGTTTCTTAGAATAAGGCAGTAATGAAGTGTGCCGCATCGATGATCTCTCCCTTTCATGAACAATTTCTCTGTAGCGTGCAGTGCTGTTTGATGGCAGAATTCTTTCACAATTGGGAGTCAATCCTTTCAAATCTGGCTGCTGCTTTATCAACTTAAATTTATATAATATTCTAAATCCACTGTTGTCATTTCAACAATTTCTTCACAGAATTCACCAGGAATAGATCCTATATCAAGAAACAACTTTTTTTGCTCATCCATAAGAAGCAACTCTTCATCCATTAATGTTTTACCATGAGACTGCAGCAATGCAGTCACATCCTCAGACTCTACTTCTAATTCTAGTTCTCTATTTCCACCACATCTGCAGTTACTTCCTCAGCTGAAGTCCTGAGGCCCTCAAAGTAATCCAGGAGGTTTGGAATCAACTTCTTCCAAACTCCTTTTTAACACTGATATCTTGACCTCTTCCCATGACTCAAGAATGCTTTTTTTTTTTTACTGTATGCGGGTCTCTCACTGTTGTGGCCTCTCCTGTTGCGAAGCACAGGCTCCGGACGCGCAGGCTCAGCGGCCATGGCTCATGGGCCCAGCCGCTCTGCGGCATGTGGGATCTTCCTGGACCCGGGCCCAAACCCACGTCCCCTGCATCGGCAGGTGGACTCTCAACCACTGCGCCACCAGGGAAGCCCTCAAGAATGTTCTTAATGGCATTTAGAATGGTGAATCCTTTCCAGGTTTTCAATTTACTTTCCATCAGTAGAATCACTAGCTATGGCAGCTACAGCCTTATGAATGTATTTCTCAATAATAAGACCCAAAAATCTTACTCCTTGATCCATGAGCTGCAGAATGGACGTTGTGTTAGCAGGCACAAAACAACATTAATCTCATTGTATATCTCCATCAGAGCTTTTGGGTGATCAGGTGCAATTATCAATTAGCAGTAATATTTTGAAAGGAATCTTTTTTTCTGAGCAGTAAGGTCTCAATAATGGGCTTAAAATACTCAGTAAACCATGCTGCAAACAGATGTGCTGTTATCCAGGCTTTGCTGTTCCATTTACTGAGTACAGGCAGAATAGATTAAGTAAAATTCTTAAGGGCCCTAGGATTTTTGGAATGGTTAAGATGAGCAGTGGCTTCAACTTCAAGTCACCAGGTGCATTAACCCCTAACAGAGTCTGTCCTTTGAAGCTCTGAAGCCAAGCACTGACTTTTCTTCTCTAGCTATGAAAGTCCTTCTCCAGCAATGGCATCTTTTTCCAATATAAGGCTGTTTCGTCTACACTGAAAAATCTGTGGTTTAGTGTAGCCACCTTCATTAATTATCGTAGCTAGATCTCCTTGATAACTTGCTGCAGCTTCTCCATCAGCACTTGCTGCTTCACCTTGCACTTTTCTGTTATGGAGACGGCTTCTTCCCATAAATCTCATGAAACAACCTCTGCTGGCTTCAACTCTTCTTCTGCAGCTTCCTCACCTCTTTCAGCCTTCAGAATTGAAGAGAGTTAGGGCCTTGCTCTGGATTAGGCTTTGGCTTAAGGGAATGTCATGGCTGGTTCGATCTATCCAGACCACTCAAACTTTATCCATTATCAGCAATAAGGCTATTTTGCTTTCTTATCATTCATGTGCTCATTGGAGTAGTACTTTTAATTTCCCTCAAGAACTTTTCCTTTGCATTCACAAGTTGGCTAACTGGCACAAGAGGTCTATCTTTTGGCCTGTCTCGGCTTTCAACATGCCTTCTTCAGTAAGTTTAATCATTTCTAGCTTTTGATTTAAAGTAAAAGATGTGCAGCTCTTTCTTTCACTTTGACACCTGGAAGCCATTGTAGGTTATTAAAACACACCAACATTTATTAAATTCACCGTATTATATGGGTATGGTTTGTGCTGTCCCAAAACAATTACAATACTAACATCAAAGATCACTGATCACCATGATAAAATGTAATAATGAAAAAGTTTGAAATATTGTGAAAATTATCAAAATATGACACAGAGACACAAAGTGAGCCGATGCTGTTGGAAAATGGCACCAAAAGACTTACTTGAATGAGGGCTGACATAAACTTTAAATTTGCAAAAAACACCGTATCTGCAAGTACAATACAGCAAAGTGCAACAAAATGAGGTAAGCCCGTACACACCAAGGAAATTCAATGAATTAATTTGCTGTGTTAGAATGCTAACTCTAAGCTAGCTATAAACAAAGACTTTAATTTTAGAATAAATTATCTGTAGTTTTTATTTTGTCATACTTACACAGCAGAGTCAGTTACCTCCTAATTATCCATTAAGGCCATTTAAATAAATTTCATAAAAAACAAACTACATCATTCATATTTATTCTCTATGACAAGGAAGTATGGATCCAGCTCCTCCAAAAATAGTTATAAATGTGGCGACCATACACTCTGGTTTGTCAGAGACAGTGGTGGTTTTAACCTGTCATCCTGGAGTAATTAACAACTCCCCTTTCTACTCTCAACAGTGTCCCAGTTTAGACAATCAATTATATGGTCTATCTATTAAGTCTCTAAGATATAAAAAGATGGAGAGTCATTCTACAAAATAACTAGCCTGTACTCTTCAAAAAAAATCTCGAAAAAAGGAGACTGAAGAGTCATGACACTAACTGCAATGTATAACTTCAGACTGGATCCTGGGCAGGAAAAAAAAATTATAAAAGAAATTATGGAAGAATCGGTGAAATCTGAACACAAACTATAGATTAGATAATAATACTGTATCAATAGTAAATTCTTGATTAAATAAAGAATCAAATTCTTAAATGGAGAATATCCCTTGTTCTTAGGAAATCCACACAGAAGTACTCAGTGTGGGATAAAAAGAGCATCATGTCTACAACCTACTTTCAGATGAATATATTCACACAAATATATACATGGAGAAATAATTAAAAAATATATGAAACATGAACATTGACTAATCGGGTGAACGTTACACAAAAATGGATATACAAAGAACATTTCAAGTATCCTGAATTATTTCAAACTAAAAAGATAAAATAAAAAGATCAGCAGGGGGAGAAGCAGGGAATGGAGCTGTTAGAAATTGCCCTCCAATTATCTTTTGGAGTCTCACTCCCACTAACACTATTAGGAATCAGCTAAAATAGTCACTTTTTCATATATAAAACAAATTATCATATAAATATTTTTAAAACCCTGAAGATTATTACTAACCTCTTTCGAATTCTAGCATTAAATAGTGGTGCCTCAAAACGTGGATTTGTACCAACCAGAAGGACAACATCTGTCTCTTCCACACCGGCAATTGTAGTATTAAGAAGATAATTGGAACGTAGATCTGTGCTAGAAACACGAAATATAAAATGCAAGTTTTACTTTAAAAGTAATACACACTGACAATCCATGAAATACTCTCCTGTCATCAAACCCATGGCACTCCCAGACAAAAAAAAATCTATGAAGCATTCTTAAATTACATCAAAGGTTCAGATACTTATTAATAACTGGATTCTCTAACAGCTCCTGGTCTGACTTTGGCCTATATGTGATAATAAGCTGGTTGGTATGTTGGAGTATCCAAGCTGCCACATAAAAGTCATTGATGCCATAGATGTGTTGGTTTAAACACAACTTGTAACCAGAAAAAAAAAAGAAAGCCTAGATTCTAGCTTCAAACTTCTCACCCAGCTCCTGTGGTAGGGAAGACCTCTTCAGTGCATAGGGTGTCAGAGTCCACTCTATTAAGTAAATCTTTGAGAGATACTAGGGCTTCAGCATCCACCAAGCCACCTGCAATTGCTGCCACATCGTTGCCTTGAAAACTCTGCAACTAAAAATGGATGAAAAGGCTATCACCAAGAAACCTTCATTCAGCAAAGGATCACAATGAAATGTTCAGAAAACAAAACAATAATGTCATTTTCAAGTACAATAAAAGGAACAAACTTCTAACTAAAACGTTATTAATCTGAAAGTGAGAAGCAAAAGCGTATATGGGGCCAAGGTTAATAACATCAGCCTGGAATAAAGATGTATGTATGTATGCATGTATTTATTTATTTATGGCCGTGCTGTGTGGCATGTGGGATCTGATTCCCTGACCAGGGATCAAACCTGTGCTCCCTGCAGTGGAGGTGTGGAATCTTAATCACTGGACAGCCAGGGAAGTTCCTGTTTGTTTTTAAATTAGGAACAAAGGGTCTCAAAATGAGGTCTGGAAGATGAAGACTGTGGAATTATACTTAAATACAACTTCATCTGAAGGATCTGTCATTCCTTCAAGCCCTTTATGTATGTTGCTTTTCTCTGACCAGAGGCCATTCCCCGTTTTTGCTCTGGCAAGCTTGTATTCATGCTTAGACTTTGCCTAAGCAGTCAGCTTACCTATGTGACACGATACCTGGTTAGGCATCCTTCCAATGTGCTCTCTCATATATCATTTTCTGCACAACTACCCAAAGCAGCATGTGATAATTGCTTAATTATCCATCTTTTCCTAAAAGACTGTGGGAGGTTAAGAACTATGTGCTAGTGGTCTTTATATCCCTACATCTAGCATGACATGCTGTACAGTTCTCAATACATATTTTCTTTTTTTCTCAATAAATATTTGTTAAATGGAAGATAATCTTGGCAAGATGAAAGAAGTGAAGAGAAACATATCCCCTCTTCATTCGAAAGATGTGCCTTGGAAATCACAAATATAGTTATTCTATACTTCAATTTTTTACCATTCCAGCTACACGAGAGAGTGCGTCCTCCCAGGTGGTGTATGTTAAAAGCCCCTTTTCACTTCTGACCATCGGCTCGGTAAGTCTTTGACGTTTTAGCCCATCATAGGCAAATCTAGATAACAGAAATTATACCATTTGTGGAATCTTGCTAAAAAGGCAACTATAATTTTCAAGTTTAAAATCTAAAAGAAGAAAAAAAAAAAAAAAAACTAAAAGAAATGTTATTAAAATCCAGTACTGGTTAAAGGTCAAACAGAATAAACACTTGGATAAAATAATTATTCCAGGTTTCTTTGGAGATGAACTAATAAATATTCTACAAACATCATCTAAAACTAAAATGCCACCTAAAATGTTTGAGTTCTTATAATTTATTTTCAGCTTCCTGAATAATCTTAAAATTACAATACACAAGAAATCTGGTAGCTGAAAAAGCCAAACCATTTCTAAAACTTGAGTATCTTTAGATATTTCATCAAAATTATATTGTGCAAATCTAACATATTTAGCTTCTATTCTCCAAAGAAACAGAGGCAAACTGAAATATATTAAGTCTCTTAATTTACTTCAATTTCTCTATCTGGGAGGAAAAAAACGTATTTCTCAATATGAAAGCCAGTTAATATGAAAGCCAGTGATATACCTAGGACTATTAAAGTCAGTTTTGTCTAATTCTCTATATAAACAGTCCAGATTTCAATAGTCTATATACATTAGTTTGCAAATATAAGACTGTTGCTTAATATCAAAATTATTATAAAATTTCCTTCAAATCAAGTCCAAAAGTTAAAGGAAACAATATAGCACATACCTGGTTTTATCAGAGATCCACTCTTCATTGATGTCCTCATGCATCCTTGGCAAAATTCTCATTACCTCTCCAGTTCTTGTGCTGACCACAATATTACTTCCAACTGCATCCATTACATCAATGGATTCTGTCTTTCTAAGAAAATAAACACATATATTTACTAGTTGATTTTGAAAATAGGGAAAAAGTTTCTGTTACCGGGTTTACCAAAAACAAAAAATTTTACAAATTTCCTTTCTGAATTTCTAAAACTAATGGAACTCAGAGGAACTGTGATTTTGAAAATTAAATAAATAAATAAATATAAATATACCCTCGTATTTGAACAGGCCGTAATGCAAAAATGAAACCTTTAAAACTGTTATCTAAAACAGAAACCAACTGGAACGGCTGCAAATAGCGAAATATGGACAATTAGAGTATCAAAATAAATAATAAGAGGGGCAAGATTTTGGGGTATGGCTGATTAAGGAGCTTGACAAATCCTCCCCCCAAAAACAAAAATAAAGCTAGACAAAAACTGACAAAAGCAACCAATTCAGCTCTTTGGAAAGCTAACAAAAGCACACAATATCATGAAAAACTTTCATGTGTGGGAAAAACTCCTGAACTTCAAGTAAGAACAGTGGAAATTAGTGGTGTTCTGGCTTGGGACTATTCTTATCCCCTTTCCTACCACCGTGAACTGGAGGTTCTGCCAAGATGGGGCAATCTATGAAGACAGGAGCTTCTTTCTTTCCTACAGACAAGGCTCACTCGTTTTGGAGAAATGGCAAAAGTTGTCTGTGGAAGTGGTATCCTGGAGGTCACTGAGCTGAGGAAAGTCAAGAGTACTAGCCTGAGGCTGTAGGCACAGTCAGGGCAAGCATTCCTAGTGGAGGCTGCACATATGTGCAGCTGAGACCAGAGAGAGCCCAGGCTATTCATACTCTCCTGGACAACACAGAGACCCAAAAGACCTGGTGTAAAGTACAAGCTGGGTAGACTTGAAAACAGCCTTATCTTTGAACATGCTCTTCTATCCACACACGGATCCAATGGCAGAGGATGAAAGCTTTATTGGCTCAAAGAATTTAAGCACAGTCATTATCTGACTACTAAGCTATGCAGACACAGGAGCAACTCCTAAGAAGCCTTGCTTAAAAATAAAAACAAGAATATTAAAATATGTTCAAAGAAATAAGGAAAATCATGTTTACAGATTAAAGGGAAGTATGAAACATTGAATCAACAAAGATTCCCAGTAAGGATACAGAAATTACAAAAAAGAACGAAATAGAAATTCTGGAGTTGGAAAGTATAACTGTAACAAAACAAATCACTATAGGGGCTGAACAGCAGATTTCAGAAGACAAAAGAATGAATGAATGAACTTGACAGTAGATCAACAGAATTCATCCAATCTGAAGAATAAAGAAAAAAAAAGTTTTAAGAAAAATGAATAAGTGTCTCAAAGACCTGTGACACAACATTAAGTGTAGCATTTGTATGTATTATGGAGAGGAGAAAACACTCTCTACTTAAACATTTCAACTATGTACTGTCTCCTCCCTGCCCCCAGCTCCCTAAACCTTTTGTATACACAAATACATGGTTTAAAGCCTGGAATTTTTTTTTTTTTTAAAGCCTGGAATTTTAAGTTACTCCCATATACTCTGGTAGGAGTTTAAAATCAGAAGGCAATTTGATGATATATTTCTAGAACCTTAAATGTATACAAATTTATTGCAACGATCTATTTCATTTCTTAATTTAATCAGAAGAATCAGAGATATATAAGAAAAGTTATAAATATGTTTATTTTAGATTTGTAGGACTTCCCTGGTGGTGCACTGGTTAAGAATCCACCTGCCAATGCAAGGGACACTGGTTTGAGCTCTGGTCCAGGAAGATCCCACATGCCACAGAGCAACTAAGCCCATGCGCCACGACTACTGAGCCTGCATGCCACAACTACCGAAGCCCGCATGCCTAGAGCCTGTGCTCTGCAACAAGAAAAAGCCACCACAATGAGAAGTTCGTGCACCGCAACGAAGAGTAGACCCCGCTTGCAGCAACTAAAGAAAGCCCATGCACAGCAACGAAGACGCAACACAGCCATAAATAAATAAATAGATAGATAGATTTTAAAAAATAAATTTGTAATTATAAAGAATAAGAACTAATAAAATAAAGTATAATATGTATACGTGGTTGAAAATTTAATGTACAATGAGAGGAAACTATAAATTTTTAAAAATCAAGACAATCTTATTCCTTGGAAGAACAAGTGAATAAAATAATTTTGTGATTAAGTACTTTGGAACTAATTTCCAAGAAAACTACAATTAATTTGCACAGGTTCATCCTATCCTTCAATTTAACAACTTATCTTCTATTAAAAGGGCTTTACTTAAAGCAAATAAATAAAAACTTGGACCAGAACAATTAGAACTCATGAAGAAAATGAATCTTAAATTTTTTTGAATAGTACTGAATTAAAGGACAAAAAATACCATGATGAATACCTTGTTTCCCAAGGCCGAGCAGTAAAGGCATAGGGCTTAGAGGTCAGGGCACCTACAGGGCAGATGTCAATGATATTCCCAGAAAGTTCAGACATGAACATCTTTTCAATGTATGTGCCAACTTGCATATCATTTCCTCTGCCTGTTGTTCCCAGATCATCTACTCCTGCAATCTCACTTGCAAATCTGCAAGATAAAAATGTACCATCAAATGGTCAAACACAGCAAACTTACCTCCTTTCCTATTCATTATCACAAAGGTAATGATTTTCAAAACACTGGAAAGATAGATTTTCAATGGAAAATGTAGTCCCTGAATAAAAATAATAAATGTTTCCATTTAATTTGAGGTGTAACACATGTACAGAAAATTGCACAAATCATGTGCACAGCTCAGCAAGTTATCACAAAGTTAATGCTTGTAGATTTTGATTTTTAAATCCAAGTGAAGTTGATATTAACTAAAAGTGAAAACTTATTCATTTTACTGGCTTATGTAAAAAACACTGAAAATCCCTCTTCTTTCACCAAATAAAAGTTGATATCCGTTCCAGTGGTGTTATTCCATCAAATTTTGTGAATATTAAATAAGTATACAAATGATATTGCAGAAGACAGAAGGAGAAAAAGATTACCTGATGCATCGAGTACACTGTATACATCTAGTCATAATGGTTTTTATCAATGGCCCAATGTTCTTGTCCTCCACAGCACGTTTCCCCTCTAAAAACCGGCTCCTATCACTTCCAAACATCATGGACTGGTCCTTAAGTAGATTATGAAAGAGTTAACCAAATTTTGTTAACAAAATTAACACAAAAAGATTTAAGGAATTAGACTACATACCTGCAGATCACATTCACCTCCCTGGTCACAAATAGGACAATCCAATGGGTGATTTGCTAGTAGGAACTCCATCACACCTTCCCTGTAAAGAAAAGTGTAATATATAAAATTACATAAATTGCTGACATTCAAAATGGTTTACATATAGGCTATTTAAATAACTATCACAGATGTATACTCATATAGTTAACATGGATTTTACATTTACTATAAGAAACGCCAATGTAACTATCATAAGAGTAGTATTAAATACTTAATCTAAAAAATGTTTATAGGAGTCCAGAATAAAACATCATTAGAGAACCTAGAAAATTGAGTTTTAACAATACAGAAATACCAAAAGTTGCTGAATGATCTTCAGAAAACACTGGCATTAATTCAAAAAAACATGGATGTAAAGCAAAAACAAATACAATCAGTGCCAGTACAGTACAGTACAATATCACTGCAATAATCTCAGTTCAATAAGCCCGAAACAAACTCACTGTTACCACAAGATGAGCAAGGTTCTAAACAAGGGATTTTAATGCTGATTCTGCTGTAGGCTCAAAACCATAAAAACCTGACTTCCCCTCCTCTATGTGTACTCACTTCCAACTGCTCCTAGAAGCCAAGCACGCCAATTTCTTCAGAGTTTGATACTGAATTTCTCATCTATGGGAAGGTATACATACTGAAATGTGCAATTTTCTGCTCTAATAAAAGTCACTATGCCAAGTTAACAATAAAGTACCTGGCTTTCTTAGTTTTCTCTGAGTTTGTCAGGATATTCCAACCTTTCATTACTGGCATGGCACAAGCAGCTACAACCTGGAATTTCAATGCAAAAATCTCTTAAGTATTTGTATTTATTTGTAATTCTAAGTTAACCCAATATATAAAATATTAACATTTGAAAACCAGGAAAGAACAGAGTATTTTTGAAGACTGAGTTTTTTAGTTTTCATATTTATAATATGATAATCTTGCACGATACATTTCTCTTAGAAACTAGACATCTTCTTAATTTTATTCTAATAATTAATGAGATTTTTTATAAGAGGCTCTGAAATAGAACATCAAATAACTGTGTTTTGATTAGCAGGCAGTACTGAATTAAAATTGCACAAGCCAAAACAAAATTAAACTGAAAGTGAACCTCTTCACTGCAACCCTTTTCTCTAGTGAAAATGGCACAGCATAAGCACTTCTAATGTGCTTCTTGGCAGCTCCACATCCTACTTGTGTGTCACACACCATTTGGACATGGTGACCGCTCTAAAAAGACCCATTTAATTTCTAAATGTTACCATTATATGCCACTTGCATTTATATAAAGCACTTTCTTCAATATGTTTCCAGTTCTGAAATGAAGAGAATCAATCACACAAAAAATAAATTTATAGATAGAAGTAAACAGGACCAGATTCTCCACTACAGCAATACTGATTCTAAATAAAGTCTGCTGCAAGATTTAAAGTTTTCTACCTTCTACAGCATGGTGTGGAATTTTAGGTATCAAGTACCTTAGGAGCTTTCTCAATTTCAACAAGGCACATCCTGCAGTTTCCAGCAACAGACAACCTTTCATGATAACAGAATCGAGGGATCTGCATGCCAACCTTCTCACAAGCCTAGAAGACAAAGTAAAAAACGTTTGCACTAGGATAACCTGACCTCATCCTTGTCTTGTCTAAAACACAGTAAAAACAAACAAAAAAACATGAGGCCATCCCCTATCTTATTACTCCTACCTACAAATATCTGTAACTTGATCCTCAAAGAGATTTCCCTCCTTTTCTTTCCTCTTGATTCCAACCCCTGTCTGCTCTGAAGCTACCTCTTTAAAGATCCTCACCGTGCCTATACCTTACGTGGAAGAAACTGGATAAAGAAGCATATTCAGACTGTGCTAAAGGCTTGACTCCCCATTTCTACTCTGAACCATTGTCTACAAAGACTCCTCCTTCAAACTCTGTCCCAGTGGTTTCATACCTTGACTTCCTCATTGACTAGCCCTCCTCCTTTAGATTAGACTCCACTTTACACCATCCAGCTGACTATAATCTGGTTCTATCTTTGGCTCCAAATACCCCACCCAGTACTCTCACTCCCTTCCCAGTTCCCATTTGCTTAGTGAAGGATATTAGTTCCCTCTACCAATTATCCCTGCTCCTTCTCTGAGCCTACAAATGCACTCAAATTTCCTCTAGAATTAGTTCTTCCATCCTTAGCCCTTACTCTAAAGCAATCTCATCGATTTTTAATATTTTAACTACTTAGCAAAAATGTATGGAGTCTTCCTGTGTGCTAGATGCAGTGGGTCAACTGTCCCAGCCTTCACACTAGCTCATTTACATATGATTACATTCAAAACTTCATCTGTAGCCCTGATGGTCTGCAGCCCTGATAGTCCTCCACTTCTTTAGATGTAAGTAGGCATTCACATGTGTACACTCTATAGATAGTTAAAATTCAATCTAAAAAAAAAATTCAATCTATTTCTGTCCCCTACTATACATCCCCAAATAAGCTAACAAAGGCAGAAATCACAAAAAACTCCTCTGCTCTTCATCATTCCTAAAGGCCTGTCTATCTGCATCTCACTCTCCCTTGAATATACCCTCTTGTTTTCATTCCCATTGCCACTATTTTGGGCCTTTTCACTTCCTGCTCCACTAATGCAAGATATACTCTTTCTGTGTCTCATTCCAGTCTTATTATTCTCCAAACCACCATCCTCTACAGTCACTGTCATACTGCTTAGTAGCCATGAATATTCTTGATGGCCCAAACTATAAGCTCTGCAACATTGCATATATTGTCTTTAATGACCAGACCTTCTCTACCAGAATAGTCTGATTTCCTGTTATCTCCTCTTCTACACATACCTTATGTTCCATCAATACCAAACTACCTGAAGCTTCCTTGTCCACATATAAAAACCTACTCATCCTTCAAAATCTTCTCAGAGATCACCTGAGATATTCCTGACATCTCTTTCTACCACCTCCTATACATGCCAAAATACTCTCCACTGTACATTGAACATAATTTTGTTATATATTTATGTTTACATGTGTATGCCTGACAGTCTAGAAATTACTGTTAAAATGAATAAAGAGCATTTAGCTCTGCAATAATTTACGATGGAATGAAGCACTTCTTCTCCATAACCAACTCTGTTAGTTCTGGAGGAATTTGGAGAAATTAAATACTTAGGGCATAAATTCGAGAACCTACTACCCTCCATTTATCTGCTTTGTAGGACAGATTCCTAGAAATATTATTAAAAATAGAGAGGTTACATAAAAGTGAAAAGCATCAAGCAAGCTCACAACAAAGGTTAGCTTTTCCCCAAACTTACCTATACTAACTAATAATTTATTTAAGGTAACTTAAAACTTCTAAATGGGAATTTATTTGAAGGCAGAAGTGAAACAAAAGAACTGCCACAGTTCACTTAGAAAGTCAGAATCTGATAAACGATAGCTCACTCACTCTGAAATGCCAAGATTTCAAATCAAACTTATTTTCATATAATTTTACTATCTAAATATAGTTCTTTAATGAGCATTTGTCAAGGAATCTTGAAAATTTTAGAAGCAAATGAAAAGTATAAAGAAAATAAATTATTTTTGCTTTTTTAAATCAGAACATACACAAAAATAAAGAATTAAAATGAATGCCTACTTGGAGGATGGTAGTTCCTGGTTCCACCATGACAGACTGACCATCAACAAATACTTCAATCAAGTTGCTTGCTGCTGTGGCAGTTGTTCGAACTGACCATCAAAAATATTGAGGTGAAAATGAAATTAACAGAGTTCAAGTTATTACAGCAGGGGATAATGGATTAATTAACCTTCACATCTACATTTTTTCCTCATTTTGTACTATTCCCTTCTATTTCTTTAGATGCAAACTTCTAAATTATTGACTTAGAGGAAAGCTTTTCCAGTCCTGAATACCAAACAGAATATGGCTGTCTACTTTTAACAGCAGTTTAAGTTGTAACTTTTAATACCACTGAAAATATGTTCCTGGGAAGACCACTTCTCAAAAGCAGAATGACTGGTTTTTCCATTTTGGCACTTATGGGCAATTCCTACTACTTTCTATTCCACGATAATGTCTATAAAATGTTTAAAGTTGTATTTTGAAAATTATTCTATTCAACTTGGGTCACTGTTTCCATTTTTATTTAAAATATATTATGGGTCTTTCAAGAAACATTCCATAAACCTATGAATTTACAAAGACAGAAAGTCTAGTACCCACAAATGCAAATTCAAAAAAAAGACACTCACCACATCCTTTAGGAGACTTAGAAAGGCTCACTAAGGCCCTTCTTACAGGTATCCTTAACATATTGCTAAGAATAAAACAAAGAAGAGTTATATTATCACAGGAAAAACAATGCCAATCACAAACTTTTTGGTAATATTTTATGGTTTTAAAGCATTTCATATATATATACATTATTTCATTGAACATTTCACAAGTCCTGATATTTTTCCTGAAATTCTAGAGATGAGAATACTCCATCTCAGATAGATTAACTGACTTGTACATCATTAAGAAGCTGAGAAGGAGCAGCTAGCAGATAAATTTGAATCTTCTAATTCTATGTAAAGGGCAGTTTTGTTGTTTTTAATTATAAACAAATGATCAAACTTAGTATACTACTATATAGTAAATTTCAAGAATTAACAGTGAGTTTATCATTAATTGCTATGTAAAATGAAGCCTACCTTTCTGCCTTCATTTCCTGCTAAAATGCATTCTAACATTCTACGTTCTGAGCAGTTACCTACTAAATGCTTCTGAGATATTCTGAGCTGGCTCACAAGCCCAAGCCTTTAAAAACTCTGGAGTGCTATTTTCTGTGTCCAGTAGTATACATTTATCTTACAGATTTGCAATTATCTGTTTATGTGCCTGTTCTACCCCCCCTGTATTGTGAACTTCTTTAATCTTTCTATCCTCAGTACCTACACAGTAAGCTCTAAAACAGTGGTTCTCTATAAGAGATAATTTTGCTTCCCAGGGAACATTTAGCAATGTCTGGACAAACTGTTGTCGTGACTACGGGAAAGCTATTGGCATCAAGTGGGTTGAGGTCAGCGTGCTACTAAAGATCCTACAAGGCTCAGGACAATCTCCCATAATAAAGAATTATCTAAAGTGTCAACAGATCTGCAGCTGAGAAGCCCTCTCTAAAGGATTTGCTGAATTACTGAAATAAACGGAAGTGGATTATATAAATTAACACCAATTAAAGGTATACATAAGCAAAAAGAGAGAAAAGTTATCTGATCTTTTAGAGTCTTTTGTCCATCCACTTGATCATATCGGCGAAGCACTGAACTTTCTGTCTACTCACTTGATTATACGGGCTAAGCATCTAATTTTTCATTTGGAACTCTTAAAAATACAACAAATTATGTGATCAGAATGTATCGCATAAATAATTTCAAAGTTTATAGTAGAAAACTGTATATATACATAAGTTTTAAGCATGTTTCACAGAAATTTCATTAATTCACACATCAATAACTCAAACAATTCATTAATTCAGAATTTGTGATACTGAATCTGCAGACATCTGTCACCTACTAGTGAGTGACTTTTTGGTAAATCACAGTTTGTTTCTTTATCTATAAAAGAAAACAATACCTCTTAGGCTATGTGTTACTAGTAGGAGCTCAATAAATGTCAGTTATATCTGAATTCAATTTAGATGGTACTAGCCACTGAAAATCAGTTTTAAAGGGCTCTTCCTCTTTACTACCAGCACACACTGTGTATGTGTATATATATATCTTTATTATTCCACCTACTAAACTGTAAGTTAGCAATCAATTTCAGTATCTCTAGTCTGTAAGCTCCTTGACAAGGAATGGTGCACTTTGGTCATTTCCCTTTTCTGAAGACCTAGCACAGTGCCCCTAAGAAAATGAACCATCAAACAGAGTTGACCCTTAAACAATATGGGTTTAAACTGCACAGGTCCAGTTACAGGCGAATTTTTTTCAATAGTAAATACTACAGTACTACAAGATGTGAGATTGGTTGAATCCTCAGATGCAGAACCATGGATAATAGAAGGCCAACTGTAAGTTATACACAGATTTTCGACTGCACAAAGGGTTGGAACCCTTAATCCTCTCATTGCTCAAGGGTCAACTGTAGTCTTACCACCAAGTTCCAGAATGAGTAGCATCTGTCCTATTAAAATCCATTCATATAAAGGTAAAACTGAACTTGCTAAGTTAAAGACAGATCAAAATCAACAGTATTTCATACAACAATGTAAAAACTTTAATATTACATTTGTCTCCAATACAATATGAAAGTGGTGCCCACTTTAGCTAGGAAATCCACCAGGACTAGGCTGTCTGTTGAAAACCCAGCATCAAGTGGAAGACTGCATAGCACCAACATAAGAAATACAGATTTGCAAAACTTTGATAAGCACTTTACACTTATTTGGCTACCATTTAAGAACATAAATAATCATCTCTAAGATGGGAAAATGCTAATGAATAATCACTTCTAAAACTAGAGTGGACACTTTTTGGTGCAGGGACAATACTACTCCACATTCTCCACCAGGTATCCCGCAACCATCCACTTCTCTCTCTCCAAGGTACTGTCCTATTCCAAGCCACCATCATCTCTTGCTTGGACTGTTACAGTAGCCCCCAACAGGTCTCCTGGCTTCCACACTGCTCCCACAGCCTTTCCCATCTTCTCAGGGGCTGTGACCTCAGACAGAAATGTTCTTCCCTCAGATCTTTCTGGCCCCTCCTCATCCTCCAAATTTTGGCTTAAAAGGCATTTCTCAGGGAGATTTTCCTTGACCAGCCTAACTAACATATCCTAACTACTCCCCAGTCACATCGCCCATTTAATTCTTCCTTGTGGACTCACTTCTAACTTATAATAGGCAATCAACAACTATTTGTTAAATGAATTCTATCTCTACTCTCTGGCCATCGCTTCCACTTTCCTGGTATTAAAGAGTGCAGGTGCTCCGGCAGCCTTACAACACCCTGCTTAAAGATGCACACACAATTCAGTGGAAAAAAAGGACGTCCCGCAAAAAACCAACTTGATGTTTATTCATCAGAAACAGTTCACGTTACATTTTCTACCCTCAATTCGTTTTTGAGCAGAGCTGTGTCTGATACACGTTTTTACAGTACGTGTACATGCAATGGATTCCCAAAATTTTTAAACAACGTAGCTTTGTTATTTGCAGTGCGACTTTGAGTCAACTTTTCAAATGTCTTTTTTCTTCAGTTTCCCCACCAGTGAAAAGGATAAGAAGTATTAGCCAACGCAGCCTATGGACAAAACCATAAAACAAAACAACAGAGGCATGGACGGTTGCTAAGGCAACAGCAGCCAAACAAGGATGCACTATACCAGGTATGTAGTAACTGGGGGGAAAAGCTCAGTCTTTAGGCCTAAGTCACTTGAAAGGTCCTCTCCCGGGAAACAAAACGGCCTCCTCTACAGGAAGGGGACTGTCCTGCATTCCCCTGCAGAGGGAAGGTCACCCACAAGGCTGCACTCGGGCCAGTGCTCCCCAGGGCCTCGTGATTTCCTCCTCCTCTCTGCTCCGTCAGAGCAGAGACGTTGGCTAACAGTCCTCACCTGCCAGCTCTCGGGGGTTCCCGGGGAGGCGGGGTGGGACGCGGCGCCCATTCAAGGACAAGAGGAGAATGAGTGGGCTGGGCCAAAGAAAACAGTCTCGTCAATAAAAACACTCCGGGGACCAAGGCACCTCAGCCTTCTCACCCAAACACAACCTCACCTTCTCCCTGGAACCGCCGAGGCTGCCCTGCAGAATTGTCTACAACCCGCCGACTCCTTCAGAGGCCGGGTTTCTTATTCAATATGGCGGCCTCGGGCATCTCAGTCAGCCGGGCCTGGAAGAACGGAAAGGCGGGAGGGACTAGAAATCACAATTCGACAATTTCTCGTTTAGATTGAGCTCGGCAACTTCCGTCAGCTTGACAGAGGGCGGGGTGGAGGACGTAGCAGCTGGCAGGAAGCGGGGGCGGGAAGTTCCGCCGGAAGTAACCTGGCGGCCGAGGCCGAGCGTCTTCCGTCATTTCCGGCGCTTCAACGGGCGTTTCCGGTAGTCTTTGCAAACCTTGGAGGTAGTAATTTAAGCAATGCCGATTTTATTAATTGATTTGCAAACACAAAGAAAGCTCGGCGGATAATTTGTGGGCCATTAATTAAGAGCCCTTGATTTTTACGTTGAGAAATCTTAACGTACTTTACTTCTTTTAACCTGCGGCTTGGGGCATCGGAGAGAAACCTCCGTCTCTATATAAGGCATTTCCGGCCTCGTTGCGGGCCTTTTTCCCTGTTAGCGCTCGGCAGCGACCGTCTGCGCTCCTCTTCCTCCGCTGCCGCCCAGTTCCCTATCAGCCGTCGCCATGGGTTTTGGAGACCTGAAAAGCCCCGCCGGCCTTCAGGTGCTCAACGACTACTTGGCGGACAAGAGCTACATCGAAGGGTGAGCTGACGGGCCGGGGTCTGGGCAGGGTCGGGAGCAGTGGTGCCACGTGGCGCGGCCTCGGTTGCGGCTGGAGGAAAGGAAGCCTGACCCCAGGGCTCTCCCGCGGGAGGGGACTGCGAGGGGACTGCGAGGGGAGAAGGGTTAAAAATGTGCTTTGTTTCGGCTTACTTGACTCCACCGGGTTTTTCCGCGTCTTTGCTCAGTTAACAAATGTAAACCTGTAGGTCCACGTTAGCGATTGCAGTTTCTGAGGTCTAAGTGGCAGTTGTGTCTCAGGATAGCTCGGAGAACCAAATAAATGATCCCTGATCCTAAGGAACTTATTTTTTACAGAAAACTAAAGCTGCTTAGGTAGCCCGGTAACAAGAGGGCGAATTGCCACTAATTAATTTGACGGTCGTAGCTAGCGTTTGTCATTCGTTGGCTGGTGTTTGTGGTTTTTCTTTTAAAGGCATGTGCAATTAATTCTGCATCGTTGGCAGGTATGTTCCGTCACAAGCAGATGTGGCAGTATTTGAAGCAGTCTCCGGCCCACCACCTGCCGACTTGTGTCATGCCCTACGTTGGTATAATCACATCAAATCTTACGAAAAGGAAAAGGCCAGGTAAAAGTATCTTTGTGTTTATCTGAAGAATAGAATGCTTTCTAAGCTTAAACTCAGGGTTTTCATGTGACAAGTTAGGGTTCAGGCTACTTGAGTTTTGTGGGGATATTGTAAGCTAAATTTCTCTGACTTTAGAAGGCCAAGAGGCTGAAATCCTCCATTTTTTCATGTAGAACATGTAACAGGTAGAACATGACAATTTTGAGGAAAAAGTTAGTCAATCTAAGAAACAGGAAATTTTTTTCAAGCCACACTGAGGATTATAACCTGTGAAAAGCCCATCAGAAACCTCTGAAAACTGTTCTGTGCATATAAGTGTTGATTTATTTATTTATTTATTTACTTGTGGCTGTGTTGGGGTCTTTGTTGCGGTGATCAGCCTTCTCATTGTCGTGGCTTCTCCTGTTGCGGAGCACAGGCTCTAGGCACATGGGCTTCAGTAGTTGTGGCACATGGGCTTAGTTGCTCCGCGGCATGTGGGATCTTCCCAGACCAGGGCTCGAACCCGTGTCTCCTGCATTTACAGGCAGATTCTTAACCAGTGCACCACCAGGGAAGTCTCTGTCCATATAAGTTTTTGTTTTGTGTTGTGTTTTGTTTTTTTTAAACATCTTTATTGGAGTATAATTGGAGTATAATTGCTTTACAATGGTGTGTTAGTTTCTGCTTTATAACAAAGTGAATCAGTTATACATATACATATATCCCCATATCTCTTCCCTCTTGCATCTCCCTCCCTCCCACCCTCCCTATCCTGCCCCTCTAGGTGGACACAAAGCACCGAGCTGATCTCCCTGTGCTACGCGAGCTGCTTCCCACTAGCTATCTGTTTTACATTTGGTAGTGTATACATGTCCATGCCACTCTCACTTCGCATATAAGTTTTTGAGACAAGCTTGCACATTAAATAATGCATTATTGACAGTTTATACAATCCAGATCTACAGGTGCAAAGCGAGTAGTGGGTCATGGGTCATCATGGCCCAAGATTCAAGATTCAGAAGGAATGTTATCTTCTCAGGAGGGCTGGTTAATGCAGATGCACGATACACAGTATAGAGGAGGGAGGTGGCCCAAACAGGCAAAGAAAATTTTTATGTTTAAATTTTTCTTGTCTTGCCACAAAATATGAATTTTAGTTCATCAACAACAGCAATTCAGCTTTTCCCCACACTGGCCTGCCAGTGTGCTTGACCCTGGCCTGGGGGACCCACCTCTGGGGTGAGGGGTGGCTCATTCTTTCAGTCCTTTGCCATTCTTCTGAAACTGCTAACAAGGATGGAAGTTTGGGCAGGTGGACTCCAGTTCACTAAGAATGGAACTGATCATACTTAATGAAATCTCAAACAGAAAGACTCATTCTGAAAGTAAATCTTTGTGCATATTGAATATAGTGTTTCACATGCTACTAATGTTTGTTGGGTGAGGAGCTAAACATATAAAAGCATTTACCTGGGAATGTTGAAGGGTAAATTCTTGGTACAAAAGGGGTCTATTGATAACTTGTAATGAAAACAGGTTCTCATGTATTGTTTGAAAAGGGACATCATACCGACCTAATAGTAGCTAGCTGATTAAATTTTTTTCAAGCCTGCCAGGAGTGAAGAAAGCTTTGGGCAAGTATGGCCCTGCTAATGTGGAAGACACCACAGAAAGTGGAGCTACAGATAGTAAAGATGATGATGACATTGATCTCTTCGGATCTGATGATGAGGAGGTATGGCATAAGTTGACATTTGTGCATATCATTGTGCTTAAGCACAGGCTCTGTAGCCAGAGTGCCTGGGTTTGAATCCTGGCTTCACTTTATTACCTGCCTTTTAAAAATTCTCACTGGCTACATGATGAATAAAATCAAATCGCCATCTTTCGGCTGAGCTCATGATGGATTTGTTTTTTTCTGATAAAGGTGGTCTGCTTTAAGCTGAGGACCCACCAGCCTTAAGCTGAGGAACAACCAGCTTTGTGAAGTATATTAAATTTTTTCTTTACAGGAAAGTGAAGAAGCCAAGAGGCTAAGAGAAGAACGCCTTGCACAGTATGAGTCAAAGAAAGCCAAAAGTAGGTCATTTCATAATTTGTGTTTAACTTAATTGTTTTCATAATAATGTGAATAATCTTTTTCAAAGACTGATCCCCAAAGTAATTTCCTTTCCTCCCCATTCGTTGAATATGTCAGTATTTCAAAACCTGTTGAAGTGGAGCTTCAAAACTTCCACAGCTACTGGTCTGCAGCTGTTTTTATGGTAGCAGTTGTGGCATTCCTCTGTGGGAAAGAAACTGTTACACAACTAAACACCTCTTTCTCAGCAAAATAGAAAGTGGGCATATGTGTGACAAACACAAGGTGTATTTTCTATAGTTTTATGTGGCTAAGGAGATGATCCGTTTAGAAACAAATTAAGATTTGTTAAGTGTCTTGAAGTAGGGCAAAAATAATTATTTGAATAATGCTGCTTCTTGTACTCTTTTTTAGAACCAGCACTTGTTGCCAAGTCTTCCATCTTATTAGATGTGAAACCTTGGGATGATGAGACAGATATGGCAAAACTAGAGGAGTGCGTCAGAAGCATTCAAGCAGATGGCTTAGTCTGGGGCTCTTGTGAGTTTAGTCTTTGCCTTTTGACACTGGCATCTGGAGTGTGCATACAGTTTAAAGCTTTGTCAATCAACAGGACTTTTCTAACTAAGATTTTTCTTGATGCTCTTTTCAGCTAAACTAGTTCCGGTGGGGTATGGAATTAAAAAACTTCAAATACAGTGTGTAGTTGAAGACGATAAAGTTGGAACGGATATGCTGGAGGAGCAGATCACTGCTTTTGACGAGTATGTGCAGTCTATGGATGTGGCTGCATTCAACAAGATCTAAAATCCATCGTGGATCAGTGCTCTTAAATAAAAGCTTGAAAGACACCCTTGGCTCTTGACTCCTAAATAAGAGGATGGTATTTATTTATATTCCTTCTATTTTGAAGGAAGAAATTTAATGGATAGATAATTCATAAATAATATAAATTTGGGTCCGCATTGTCATTCGACGTTTAGCCCAAAAAAGGAGGGAATTGTTATAAATTCTGTGACTATGCATAGATGTAGACTTTATAAACAAATTAACAGAAGTGGACTTAGTACAACTTCTTTACCCATTAGTGACGTCCTCAGTATGCGATGATACAACTTTTACCGCAGTATTTCAAGGGTTTATATTTGCCTTGTTTTTTAAAAGAAATCGCGGAGGTAAACGACTGAAAGTTTTGTAGTAAGAGGTTTTTTTGTTTGTTTGTTTTTTGACCATGTCACGCGGCTTGCAGGACCTTAGTTCCTGGACCAGGGATTGAACCTGGGCCCAAGGCAGTGAAAGCAGCCAGTCCTAACCACTGGACCACCAGGGAACTCCCAAGAGTTTTGATTTTAGATAATTAGTCCCATATATAATGGTTCAAGACCTTGCCCTTTGCAAGGGGTTACAAAGTTACTTAATATCTGAGCCTGCTTTCCTGGATGTGAATGTTGGGAGTACCTTAAGGAATCATGAGAAATGAGTCAAAAACAGGGAAGTGCTCAGGTCAATACACATAGCAAATAATGTCATTTGCCAGGTCATGAAACATTTGGAGATAAAGGAATTAAATGCCAGGACTAACATAGTAACCAGTGACTTACAGTGGCTGACAAAGTAATTTGTTGTGACCTAGCATCTTCAAGTTAGGGGTTACTTGTGACTAAAAAAAAAAAAAATCACACATTTACAAATCCCACCTAAAATTAATGTTATGAGTTGGCATGTGCGATTTACTTAAGGACACCTAACCCAGGGGAGGGGAGGATTCCCAGAGTTTGTCGAGGCAGATGTTGCAAATTTAAGGGATGCCTCCTGTACTGTTCAGGGAGAAGTTGTGTTGAGCATGTGATTTTGAGTAGTAGTGTGTCCTGGGAGGGAGGCTATATGGGTGACTGATCCCTCGGCTGTGGTTCATAAGCCTGGCTTGGGTGTGGAGGTGGGACATCTTACCTGGGTTTGTAAGTCTCATTGAGCCTGTTGGGGTGTGGAGACTTCAGTACTACAGTGGTGCTGCAGGTGAGTGTACGCAGAGGGTGTTACTGTAGTCAGGTGAGACTCCAGTGTTGGAAACCGCTGCATCTTAACAGTTAATTTGGGATGTATCGAATATTTGAGTATATATTTTTTACAGTAGTAGTGTTCACAAAAGTAGAGCTTGGGAATTGTAGACCTCTAAAAATCTTTTTTTTTTTTTTGCGGTACACGGGCCTCTCACTGCTGCGGCCCCTCCCACTGCGGAGCACAGGCTCTGGATGCGCAGGCTCAGTGGCCATGGCTCACGGGCCCAGCCGCTCCGAGGCATGTGGGATCTTCCGGGACCGGGGCATGAGCCCGCGTTCCCTGCATCGGCAGGCAGACTCTCACTGCGCCACCAGGGAAGCCCTAAAAATCATTTTGTAGTCTCTCTGTAGGCCAAGGAAATTGAACGTTAGAGGTCCAGGTTTTCCTAGCTGAACCAGACGATGCTGTTTTCTTCCCTCCCAATCTGATTTTCTTTGTGTGTGGCCAGCCAACTTGAATGTGGGAAATTGTTTAAATTCTAAAGAAAATGTACTCAATCGGACATATATGTACTGATGAATAAAATCACCTTCAACATTAGTCCAGCAGACTCAGTCTAAAATCACTGGGGAAATTTTCAGGTTTTCAGTATCGTGAGAGCCAGCAGAGGGCAGCACTTCATTTTCTGGAGAACGAGATCCCGGGGATTCTGGAAATGCTGTGGAAAAGTAGAGGTGTAGTAGTGAATAGCCAAAAATAATTCACAATCAGTGACATGAGTAACAGCTTGATTGAGTACCAAATAGCTTGGCCGAAACACTAAGTATTAAAAATTATTAATGATTTGAGAGTCCGCCTGCCGATGCAGAGGATACGGGTTCCCACATGCCGCGGAGCCTGCGCGTCCGGAGCCTGTGCTCCGCAACGGGAGAGGCCACAGCAGTGAGAGGCCCGCGTACCGCAAAAAAAAAAAAAAAAATTATTAATGATAAAAAAACAATGATTAAAAATGTGGTTAAAAGTTAAAAATTTTAAATAGTCAACAAACCACAGCTGTCTTGTGAATCTTAAAATAATGAATGATGAAGCATGTGACTTTTAAGATCTTGACTCCACGGCCTTGAATAAAAAATGTGTTTAATGGTATCTTTTAATGTCATTTTAAAAGGTAGATAATACATTAACATCATTCAAAATTCTAGAGGTTATACAGTTAACGTCTCCCCTGTTCCCCAGGTCTCCCATTCACGTCCATAAAAGCAACCAATGTCAACAGTTTTTTAGGTCTTTCCAGAGCTAGTCTAAGCATATATGTAGGCTAATTGTAGCATATGACACAAACTTCTGCATCTTAAGTTTTGTCCCTAGAAATAGACTTGGATATCTTGGAGATTATATCTTGGATTTTGTATCGGTACATAAAAGATTTCCTCATTTTTTAACAGTTACAGAATGCATTGTCTCATATCTTACTGAACCAGTCTAGTTATTGGATCTTTAGTTTGCTTTCAGTGTTTTGCTATTATGAGCAGTGCTTACATGTTCATGTGAGCCAGGATACTGAATGAACTGTTTTTGAACCAGTGGGTTCAGAAGGCACAGGTATACATAAAGAGATTTTTTTTTTTTTTTCTGTTTCTGGCTTTGGAATAAGAACCCACGTTTTTTTGCATGCTCCATAAGTGATTACATGACCCTGAAACCTTGTTTCTTTTTCACATTCAGCCATAGCTAGTACAAGAACTGGGCACAGTGTGGGAATTCAAAACTGATTCATTTAATGTCACTATGTTAGATGCTATAAAAATACAAAAGGATTAAGAAAATAACCATAAGGGAGGTGGTTCAAACATACTTAAAACTGTTAAGAATAAAAGTAATTTTGTGATTAAACAAGTACAGTCATCCCTCAGTATCCGAGGGGGGATTGGTTCCAGGAACCACCCCCCAACCCTCAGGTGCTCAAGTTCCTTATATAAAATGGTGTAGTATTTGCGTATAACCTTAACCTGCTAACATCCTCCTGCATTAAATCATCTCTAGACTACTCATAATATCTAGTACAATGTAAATGCTATGTAAATAGTTGCCAGCAAGCGACAAATTCAAGTTTTGTTTTTTTGCAACTTCCTGGACTTCTTTCAGATATTTTTGATTCGTGATTGGTTGAATCTGTGGGTGTAGAACCTGCAGATAAGGAGGGCTGACAATAATCCAAAAGTCCAGAGGGTCAGGGAAGGCTAGAATTAAATAAAAGTTTTTTTAGAGGAGTTAGGACTTGAGCTGGAGAGGCCTTAATCAGTAACCCGTTTAAAAAAAAAAAAAAATTCAGGATGGTGTGAAAGGCAGAATGTTAAAGGGAAGAATGAGAACAGAGGTTTGGGAGGCAATTAGACCAGTTTGGCTGGATTTTGCAGTGTCAGTTTGGGATTAGATAGGGCCAGGTTTTAGAGGCATCTGAGTTATAGGCTGGCTCATTCTGTGAGGGCAATGGGAAGCCTGGTTTCCAAGCCAGAGAATGACAAAAGCAGAGCAGAGGCAGAGGTGGAAGTGGGTGGGAGGGGTGGAGGGTGGTGAAATAGATGAGAGGAATTAAGAGGGACAAACTTCCGGTTATAAAATAAGTCACGGGGATATAATGTACAGCATAGGGAATATAGTCAGTAAAATTGTAATAACTTTGTATGGTGACAAGTGATTTTCAGACTTACTGTAGTGATCAATTTTAATGTTTATAGATGTCAAACCACTATGTTGTATGCCTGAAACTAATATAATATTGTATGTCAACTGTATTTCAGTAAAAAAAAAAAAAAAGCAGAGCTCCAATCTGGAGATGATGTGGATAGAATCAGGGAAATAGGACTGTTTTAATACACAGAAAGGGCTAAATTATGGCATATGTGAAACATTTTATAAATTTAATATATTTACTTTAGAAAGTAATGGAGACTATAGCAGCATTGAAAAATGCTTGATTTTTCATTGACTGTAACTATGAAAAGATAAACTTATGGACAAAGACACAGATACCAAAAGAGTTGCATTAGTGTTTTGGGATGTATGTATAATTTTTTTCCAAACAAACACATTTGGCAATTACAGTTATTGTCCTTAGAACAAAAAAGGAAAAAAAATGCATGCCTCACATACATTGTCTAATATGAACCCCATTATAAGCCTGTGAGATAAAGGCAAACACTGTTATCAGCACTTACAGGTGAGGAGACAACTCTGAAAGATGATTCCTCAGTTATCCACCTAGTAAGTGAGAGAGGAGGGACTCAAAAGCAGGTCTTCATGGGCCAGATAACGTATTGGCAATAATGGGGCAAGTTCTTCATCCCTGCTTTTAGAAATTTGATTCTGTTTCATGTAACCCTTTCTTCATACCCTCAATTAGAAAAAGTAAGAACATTAAAATCACATAAGTGTAAACCTTAAATGAAAACTGAGACAGTTAAACAGATATTCTCTCAATACATGCCCTGTATAGATGATATTAGTTGCACTTAGAAAATGTCCCAAATGGAAGTCTGTCATTTGGAATGTTATTGGCCTGAATAGCTTTTAGTAAAGTAAAAATCAAAGGAAACTGTCTGTAGACTTCTAAGTATGCATCGCCTAAAGAACTACTGCTCAGGAGGCCACAACAGTGAGAGGCCCACGTAGCGCAGAAAAAAAAAAAAAAAAAAGAACTACTGCTCATATGTGAGAATATTAAAGAACTATGAATTACTATTCAAGCCTGATTCCAACCTGGGAATCTTCTATCCTCACTTTGTCCCTATAAAATGGGACTAGTCTCTCTTTTCTGAACATAGCCTGTTTTCCAGCCTCTGAACATTTGCTCTTGCTATGCCACCTACCTGAAATGACCTTTTTTCACCTGCACTTGTTAAAATTATAGTCATTCTTCAAGATGCACTTAAATTACCTCTTTCAAGAAGTCTTTCAGTCTACTTTTTCCTGCCCCTTGCAGCCTCTCAGCGCATATCCTTTTATAGTATTTATAAACTAAATTTTAAAAAATTTAGAAAACAATTAATTTATTTATTTGGCCACACCTCGCGGCTTGTGGGATCTTAGTTCCCTGACCAGGGATTGAACCCAGGCCCTAGGCAGTGAGAGCTCGGAGGCTTAACCACTGGACCACCAGGGAATTCCCAATAAACTTAATGAATTTTTTGATAAAATGTATAAATTTTGAAGTTCTTTGTGTAAGTTCCCTTATTCTTCCTATGAGATTTTTACATTCATTCAAGAGGAAGAAGGGATCTAACATTTACTAGGTAATTACTATGTCAGAAGGTGCCAAGAGTTTCACTGAATAATACCAGGTAATATATTAATAATAGGTATTTATAGGGCTAAGCAGCACTTTTAGTGCTTTACCTGTGTCAATTCATTTAATTTTCATAATAACCCTATGTGGCAGTTACTACTATTGTGATCCCATTTTGCAGATGGGGGAAACTGAGGTATAGAAATTTGGATTAATTTAGCCAAGGTCATAGAGCTAGGATATATTGGAGCCATTATGCAAAGCCAGATATCCTGCCTTTGGAGTCCCTGAAACTTGCCCACTGTTTCGAAGAGCTTCCTTCCATCGAGAGGGAGCCAGGTCTGTCCTGTTGGGTTTATGCCCCAGTCCCTGGGAGCCCTGAGATTCTTTATTCTCCTGCCAACTAGGCATTGAGCTTCCTTGCTTCCTTCTCAAATTGCCCCAGTGCCCTCCTCTCCTCCAGCCCCTCTGTCCTTTCAGTTACTCATCCTGACCATTAGGGGTCATTAGACCCCTGGAGAGCCCCACTATCCAGATTCCAGCTGCCAGGGGAGGAAGCTGGCTGGGGAGTCTCCAATGCTGGGTCCAAGCTTGGGTCCTATGCTACACTTTAGATCTTCCCTCAAGCTGAGAATAAAAAATAACTCCTGTTTCTGCTGGAAAGTTCCTGCCCTGGTTGCCACTTTTTACTAGTAGATTCCTGTAAGTCACAGCCCCACTCTCAGCTATTTAAAAAGCCACTAAAACTGGAGTTCTTAGCCTAGGGTACAAGGATCCCCTGAAAATTTATTTAAAAGCATTTTTCTGGGGAAAGGACCCATAACTTTCAATCGATTTTCAAATGAATTCAGAGTATTTATTAATTCTGACTTTTCAAGTTATTTATTTATTATTAATTAATTAATTAATTAATTAATTTATTGGCCATGCTGCGAGCCTTGCTGGATCTTAGTTCCCCGACCAGGGATCGAACCCAGGTCCCTGTCACGGAAAGCTCAGAGTCCTAACCACTGGACCACCAGGGAATTCCCTCAAGTTTTCTTTTTCTATTCTAGAGCCAATGATACTTTTCAGGATCTCAAATATTTTCATAGGCCTCTGGAAAGCTCACAGGCCCTAGATACTGTGCCTGTAGCCCGTAGCGTGGGAAATACGAACAGCTCTGCCCGGGTTCCCAACTCACAAAGCTTAGGAAGCACCGCCCTGAAATGTAACTTCCCAACCACCACCAGCTCTGTAATGTACTTTTGCCCCTGGTTGCTTAATCCCCTTCCTTCCTGCTCCTCAGCCTTCCTCTTTCTCCCCCAGCCTTGAGAGTCAAGTGTCTCCCTTTGCCCAAACTAGGGATGAACCTACAGAATTCTCTTTTCTTTCTTGGATCCTCCAGCTTTTCTCCTGATCCTGGGAGCCTGTCCATTGAGGGTCGAAGGGGACACCAGAGTGGAATATCACAAGCCCTGGTGGTGCAGGGGCGGGGTTCAAGGGTGCACAAAGGGCTGGAAACTCACAATGAGCCTTTCTCTCCTTGTCTTCCCTTAACCCATACTGAGTATGGCAGAAGCCAGGAATCTTGGGAACGACAGAAATTTGGGATATGCTGAGCTATGCCACACATTTTTTTTTCTTGGAATAATTTCCAAACCAGATCTGATTGTTGCATGGGGCTAACAGTAAAGAACGGAGCCAATAAATGATCTGATCTTAGCATTTCTAAAAACTATGAGATGAAATAAAAAAGGATACTGATTCAAGGAATAACATAGCTCCCCTCACGACTTTCAAAATAAAACCGAGAAATTATAGAAAATTAAATGTTTTTAAAATTGTAGTAAATAGCAGAGTTTGTATTCATAAAAGACAGGGTACAAACAGAGACGTGAAAAAGGAGCAGGATCTTTAGGAAACCCCAACTGCAAGGACATAGATTTCCAGTGTTTCTTGACCTGCACACTGGAGGCCATCTCTTTCCTCTGAACAGTCTACATTTGTCATGGCTCTCTTACGGCACTTACTACTGTCTGCCTTGTTCTAGGATTGTTTTTATGCAAGTTTAATCTCACCCCCTATAAGTACCTTATGCATCTTGGCATCCCTCACAGTATCTGTCTACCATGGTTCTGTATAACTCTTACTCATCTATTTGCGAAAGGCATAAATGAATAGAAGTCAAAATACTATTAAGTCTTAAATGCAACAGATTTGCACCATGAAGAAGTGACTGACTTAAAGGTATACTTTATTGGTCTTACAAATATAGGAATAGAAGGTAGAAATATATCAATACATCATACATGCTTTATTTTCCTGAAATCATTCTGATATTGAGCTGGCCTATCTACTATCTGGATGTCAGTGTTTCATGCTTATAGCAATCTTATACTTACTTGCATATATACATACGCAGAATTTTCCAAAAACATTATTTTTTTTTATTTTTTTTTTTTTGCGGTACGCGGGCCTCTCACTGTTGTGGCCTCTCCCGTTGCGGAGCACAGGCTCCGGACGCACAGGCTCAGCAGCCACGGCTCACGGGCCCAGCCGCTCCGCGGCATGTGGGATCCTCCCAGACCGGGGCACGAACCCGTGTCCCCCGAAATGGCAGGCAGACTCTCAACCACTGCGCCACCAGGGAAGCCCAACATTGATGTTTATAATGATATCACGGGGGATTAAAGATGGGCATATATCCCCATTGAGAGGTAGAGTATATGTCCCCTCCCTTTGAATCTGAGCTGGCCAGTGACTGCTTTGGTCAATAGAGTACAGTGGAAGTGATACTGTGGCAGTGTCTGGCATAGCCTTTAAGAGGAGTAGAAATTGCTACCCTGGTCTCTAGAGCCCTACATTGCCATATGGGTCTGGCTAACCGTGAGGTGCCATGCTGGAATACCCGTGTGAAGAAAGGAGAGGAGATAGAGGAAGGGAGGAGGGAAGGGAAGGAGGGAAGGG